TTAACGAAGATTCCGCATTCGGACATGTCAGTCAGACAAAGATGCATCCTCCAAGTCAACCGGCATTCCACTCACCATAGGCGGCCATTTTGCTGAATTCAAAACAGGACTTGTCGCAACAAATGACCCGGATGCCTTTCAGGGTTTGATAGTCAATTGGAAAGTGTCGAAAGCATGCGAAACCCAGAACGGATGGCTCAACGCAACAAGGCTACTCCTAGGAAGCCATCCTTGCCGCATGTTCGAAATACATTCCAAATCTTTCTTCAGAGTCTGGGCGATCTCGTGAAAGACACAGAGTGAACAACCGCAAGAATCAAAGATTGCTAGCCCCATCAGGCGCTCAAGCGCTGCATCTGCACAACTTCTGCATGGAAGCAGCTCGGAGTGTCTTTGTGAGTCAGGGCATCACCAGGGTCAGGGCACCACCAGCCATACTGCAGCTGCAAAGGCTGGCAACTGCACGCTTGGAGGGAGGACAGGCCAAGAACCCGCCACAAGTTGCGACCAGAAGAGCTGTGCAACGCGGCTTGCAGCTCCCTGTACATACATACATTCGTGCATGCATACATACATACATACATCCATACATCCATGCATTGCATTGCATTGCATCATGCATATGCATACGTACATGTAAACATGCATGTATACACAGCCTTATACTAATACATGCACGTACATACGCTCCAGATAAGCATGCACACGCAAGCACCCATATACATATGAGCAAAACATGTTGGTACATATCACATCGAATAAAACACATATGTGTGTAAACACAGTTACGGCAAGGCATATGTCTGTGTGTGTCTATGGGTATCCTATCCATAGATAGATAGATAGATAGATAGATAGACAGATAGATAGATAGATAGATACATAGATAGATACACAGATGGGTAGTTAGATAGATAGACAGATCGATGGATGGATACATAGGTAGATAGGTAGATAGATACAAAGGTATGTGTGTGTGTGTACCTATGTATCTATACCTATGAATGTATGTATGTATGTATGTATGCATGTATGTATGCACGTAGGTATGTATGTATTTATGTATGTATGTATGTATGTATGTATGTATGTACGTATGTATGTGCATACGTATAGAGCAGGTCGCTAATAATGCCTGCCTCTGATATAAACCCAATGTCAAACATGTGAATATACGCACGTTTAGGTCCTACAAGGGGCTTCAGCCTGGCTGGGCTTCGGGGCTTGAACTTATGTCAAAGGATAACAGAGAGCAGGAACCTCCAAATCTGACCCAAAGCTCCCAAAGCAGCACAGACAAAACGCATCCATGGAGACCGTAGCAAGGCAAGTACAATAAAGTAAGGAGTTATGTCCCGATAGGCATTGGGTGAAAGCTACTGAGTTGCCGGCAAGGTAACCGTTTGTCCTCCGGCCCTGGAGACACGCCGTGGCGTGACCTGACTTGTAGGCTTGATCATTGGCCTTGTCAGGGCTTCCTTGAACCGAAATCCTTACTCTGGGGTTGAAGACGCCCGCCGAATTATTCGCATGTCTCCCCTGCCAGCCACAGCAGCCTCCAAGAACTGCGGTCGGCTCCACAGCGGAAAAGGCCTCAGGCAACAGCATTCTGAGGTAAAGATAAGTCTCAGTTCTGGGAGGCGTTGCTCCAGGTTGCGAGGGTCTAGGACTCAGATCGTCTAGGCCTGGGCCCTCGACCATGAAAGAGCACTATCTATTGCGAAGACAACACATGCAACACCTCCCACCGGCATCCGACCAGCCCGATGTCGCTGCAAATGCTGGGCGGAGCACAGAGACGGCAGCACGGTCCTGCCATGCTGAAGCCCGAGATGGATGCCTCAGAACCACGGACTCCGAGCATCACCCCGTCAGCATTTCCCTTGCCTCAAAGTCTTCTCCCAGTAGCAGAAGGTTCGCTTGTGGAGGTGCCGATTCTCGTAAACTTCATAGGCAGCTCAGACATTGGAGTCACGGTCTTTTGGGGGCTTGGGGTCACGCTGATGCTGATAGTTTGATGATTCCGCATCTTAGTTCTGTGTGTACAATTCTATCTATCCTTTCGAAGCTGATGATTGTGGTTATTATCCTCACACGACGAGTATTCCAAACATTGCTAGCTACTGCTACTGTTGCTGTTGAAACCACTGTCGCTATTCCATTGAATACTGTGATTTCTGTGGCTTCACGTCACCTTTGTTACTACTAATGCTATGAAACGATTCCTGGCTTTTTTGGGGTGCATGGAAGAACTGCATCCGAGGTTCTGGTCAGACCTGGTGCACCGAGCACTTCCGCCGGCAAAGGGCATCCCACTTGAGACAGCACCTGGGACACGAATCATGCTGCATCTTACTCGATTCCTTGCCTTCATTCATGAAACTCTAGGTTCCGAAATCCTTTGCTCAAACACCCACTTACTCTCGCACGCAATGCTTGGTGGTGAGCCATGTCTTCCTCATTGCTCGCCACGGCAACGGCAGCAACCTGACATCCAACCCCGACATGGCCAAGCACCCGCCAGACAAGGGCCATGCTGGCAGCGTGTCTCACTGTGGCCCTTGAGACGTAGGCTAAACTCTTGGCAGGTTTTAATCCGCTGCTGCGTCGATAGAGCTGCTACTTAAGCAGCGAGCTTCTTGCACGGGGCAAGAGCAGAGTTTCATGACCCAAGGGAAGGAAAATACTTGAGACAGCCTTGGCAGTTTCCTGTATTCCACCACCTACTGCTCAAACAAGCATTCGCTCAGGCAGCGACGAACACTGGGCCTGAAAAGACAAAGGGGACCCGGCTTATCAAAAGCAAGCTTGAAAGCCGGACCATCAAATTCTTGCACAAAAGAACACGGCACAGTTCTGCGCCTAAGCACTTTCATTTGCGGGCACCTTCGGTTCCGGTGCCGGCTGTGAGTTCAAGTAACTGATGATGCGGTCCGTCACCAGCCATGAAGCCAGGATAAGCAGCACGCAAAGGCCGAAGGAAAGGCCAGGGCCCCAACCTCCCACCAGGTACGGGATCATGCCTGCCAACGCAGGTCCTGGGCAGATGCCGACCAAGCCCCATCCGAGGCCGAAGAATGTGGCACCCAGCACCAGCGATCCGTAGTCTCCGGTTTTGGATGGCCGCTCGAAACTGCACTCCTCTCCGCAGAGAGGCTTCCTGTCCTGTCGATCTGCCAGCAAGAACGCCGGGAAGGAGACGCAGAGCCCCAAGCCCATCACGAAGGCCAGGCTCGGATCCCAGGTTCCCCCAAAGTCCAAGAAGTCCAAGACCTTCGCTTGACTGGTCATGCCCGAAATGCCAAGCCCCAAGCCGAAGATCATCCCACACGCCAGCGGTGACGCAAAGCTTCGAGGCTTGGATGGCAGGAACATGGCCAGTGCAGCCAGTGCCAAGCTAGACAAGGCTGCTGCAAGCGGGAACTCCCACTTGGGTGGCCACTGGAGCTCTGCCACTCCCCATGGACCACTGGCATCAAGCTTGGCTGCATGCCTGGTCACTGCCACGGTTACAGCAGCTACGCCCATGAATGTCGGCACCGCAATCCAGCTGCGAGGCGCAAGGCGCGGAAGTCCGCAGATCCCATGGCCGCTGGTGCATCCGCGGCCTGCTCTGGTGCCGATGCCAACGAAGACGCCACCC